AGCTGACTCTTTTTGTGACAAATATTGCTATATGTTTTGTGCATATTCGCAGAACAGTGTTTTGGAAAGCTACAAACAACTCTGGTTGGAAATGAGTCAAAATGGCAGGTGGCTGAATGCGTCTTCGCTCGAGAAAGGACGTGATATGGTCATTGCGCACAAAAACGTCATTCTCCTAGGACCAAGGTTGAACTTGGAAATATTGGCCGCCGACGACTGTCGCGTCACCGTCATCAGCGGCAACATGATGCAAGTCTGGTATTCCCTGGGCTTCCCGGAAAACTCACCTTATGCACTGGCCATCTCTGAAACGTAAGCATCAATTTTTCCCTCAACATCTATCCAATGATATTTTCAGATGATCCCAAAGAGGAAATAACTCTTTGTCGATCAGTCTAACAAATTTTCCCACTGATGTGGCAGCTCCTAAAATTGTTCACCTAGAACCTTACTGGATCTTCTCGTGTCAGCACTAATCTGCATGGGGAAAGATCACACATTCGGAATGTAATATTAGAAAAGTTGCAATGCACGCTTGACACCATGGAATACAAAAGAAAGAGTAGAATTATATTATCGATTAGTACTCATGTTACGTCATATTCTGAAGTTTTTTTCGAAAAGGGAAAACGTAGTTTCAAGTTAAGAAAGCTTTACAAAGAAAACATGCGTGCACAGGATGGTAAATTATAAATGGCGAAGAGTACTGGGGCAGACACAACGGAAATCAAGCAGCAAAATTACTGAACTGAGTGACTTTGTAGTACGACTCAAATATTAAGTACCAACACTTCATTTCTGCCTCACAGTCATCAGTTTTTCACTCATACACAAAAGCTGAATGAAACTCAACCTGAAAGAATTATCTATGCACATACGCTTTCTGATGGCGCAAGCAAGGATTCAACGAATCTTCTTTCGTTATTGTTATTCACTCCAAAAGGAAGAGCGCACAATTCAGATGGCAGTTCAAAACTGCAGAAATAATCCCTGAAAACCGTCGGTGTTTCGATAGTTGTTCTGACTATGAATAGATCAATAATCTGTTGCTAATCCTTACGTAAATGCAGACGCACTTTAAACAACAGAGCACATGTTATTGACGAACTCTAACTTTGGCTTGACTCAGTTGATTTCAACAATAGGCTACTTCCAAATGATATACTTAATCTCTTGAATTATGGTCAAAATTGACTCGAAAAGGAGGTATAACGAAAATAATATTTTTCAGAAGTTACTGCTCCGAATGCTAACCGTTTTTTGTTTTTCAGAATTCAAATCTTGGTCGAGCAAGGCATTATTCCTAAACTGTTGAGCAATTACTTTTTCGTCATGACCAAGCAAGGTCACCGATGTCAATTCAGAGAAGGCGTTAGTGCAGCATCTGGCGATCCTGTCAACCTGGACCAAGCTCAAGGAGCTTTCTGGTTGTTCATGGCCGGAATTGCCCTGGCCTTTGTGCTATTCCTTGCCGAACAGTTGGGTCGTTACTTGTCTGTGCTATCTGAGTGGTTGATTCCATTCGGTAGAATAAGAGTGATACCGAGCGTGCAAGCCTGAACAAATTTGTGTGGCACAAGTCGACATCTTTAGATGACTCAGTCCATGGCAATTCTGAAAAGTCTGGAGAGCTATCCGAGGCGAGGTCGATTTTTTTTTACCAGTGGAACATTCGAGAAGTGCCTTTGTTGCTCCTGCTTTCCATTCTGCGCACCATCAACCCCAGTGTTTCCCCCGAGAGGAAGCTGCAATGCTGAAATCTTAGAAGACCATTAGCATCTATGTGATCGCGTTTCAGTTGGAAAAGAAATAAAATTTTCAGACACAACCATGACAAGATGATCGATGTGACAAGCATGTCGTCTAATTTACGACGCCAGTTAATGGATGTTTGCGTTAAAGGAGACGCAGAGCTGTCAACAGGTCGCATCTCATTGTTGGCATGCGATGATATAGCACAAATAGAAAACAAATATCCAAATGGGAGACGTCATTTTCCGCAGATACGAGGGCAAATTTGCAAACAATATGGCACGACGGTTTGGGCAGGCATCATGAGTGGCTTACTCGAGGCTGCCGCTGAATGTTCTAGTTTAAGAGACCCTGAAATGAACTTCCAGATGAACAATAAGGATCTGACTGACCACCAGTGAGCACAAGGCTGCGTCCGAGAGGTGGCATTGAATCAAAGAACATCCAAACTAGAATGCCGTATGAAGAAGCGCAAGAGGCGGCAGCGATAGCAGACCCCAGGAGGCCTTGAGTGCTCCAGCGGAATTTATACACGGCAAATATGGCATTCTGAAATGCCACCCGCTGCTTCCGAGATGGAAAGAACGACGTCTGAAAGTCACTGCCTCATTTTAGCAACAGTAAGGCATTTCAACGATGGAGAAGCACCTTAAGGAACTCTTTAATCCTGAACAACCGCAGGAAAAGTCGTCTGAGGTGCAGCAGACAGTGTATACTACAACAAGCGTGCAACGCAGCAAGACTGCTGGAATCGATAA